CCAGGTGTGCTCAGACACCCCCAAGTGTGTCTAGATGTGACCCAGGTGTAACCCAGGTGTGATCAGGTGTGTCTAGGTGGGGACCCAGGTGAGACCCAGGTGTTCCCTGTTGTGACCCAGGTGTGCCCAGGTGTCTCTAGGTGTGACCCAGGTGTGCTCAGGGGTGTCTAGGTGGGACTCAGGTGTGTCTAAGTATGGCCCAGGTGTGTCCAAGTGGGACCCAGGTGGGACCCAGGTGGGACCCAGACACCCCCAGATGTCCCCAGGTGTCTCTAGGTGAGACCCAGGTGTGTCTAAGTATGACCCAGGTGGGACCCAGACACCCCCAGGTGTGTCCAAGTGTGACCCCAGGTGAGACCCAGGTGTTCCCTGTTGTGACCCAGGTGTGCCCAGGTGTGCCTAGGTGTGACCCTGATGTGACCCAGGTGTGTCCAAGTGGGACCCAGATGTCCTCAGGTGTGTCTAGACGGGACTCAGGTATGACCCAGGTGTGTCTAGGTGGGACCCAGGTGTGTCCAAGTGGGACCCAGGTGTGTCTAGATGTGACCAAGTGGAGCCCAGGAACCCCCAGATGTCCCCAGGTGTGACCCAGGTGAGACCCAGGTGTGTCCAAGTGGGACTCAGATGTCCTCAGGTGTGCCCCAGGTGTGCCCCAGGTCTCCGCTCGTTCTCCACGCCCGAGGCCAGGCTGGCGATGCGGCCCGATCACCGTGCGCTCACCTGTGCTGATCACCAGCCCCGTGGCCGTGCCTGCCAGGGGGGACAGGTGGGACCAGGTGGGATCCAGGTGGGATGAAGATCCCCCAGGTGTCCCCCTAAATGTGTCCAAGTGGAGCCCAGACACTCCCAGGCACCCCCAGGTGTGACCCAAGTGTGCTCAGGTGTGTCTAGGTGGGACTCAGGTGTGACCAGGTGTGTCCAGGTGTGACCCAGACACCCCCAGGTGAGACCCAGGTGTGCCCAGGTGTGTCCAAGTGGGGACCCAGGTGGGACCCAGGTGTGACCCAGACACCCCCAGATGTCCCCAGGTGTGTCTAGATGGGACCCAGGTATGACCCAGGTGTGCCCAGGTGAGACTCAGGTGTGACCCAGACACCCCCAGGTGTCCCCAGGTGTGTCCAAGTGTGACCCAGGTGTGACCAGGTGAGACCCAGGTGGCACCAGGTGTGTCCAAGTGGGACCCAGGTATGACCCAGATGTCCTCAGGTGTGTCCAGGTGGAACTCAGGTGACCCAGGTGAGACCCAGGTGTGACCCAGACACCCCCAGGTGTGTCCAAGTGGGACCCAGGTGTGCCCCAGGTGTGCCCAATTGGAGCCCAGACACCCCCAGGTACCCCTCAGGTGCTCCCAAATCCCCAAATTTTCCCTCCCCAAACCCCCAAATTTCCACCGATTTTCACCCAATTTTCGCGCCCCCGGCCGCGCCCAGTGTGTGCCCCCGCCCAGGTGAGCCCCGCCCAGGTGCGCTCACCCTCCAGGCACATGGTGGAGAAGAAGGCGATGTTCCGGGTCTCCAGGTGCGAGTCGTGGGTGCACTCAGGTGAGCGCGTCTGCGGCTCCGACTCCCCCGTCAGCGAGGAATTGTCCACCTGGGCAGGGCCCCGCCCACGCCTGAGCGCCCAGGTGTGCCCAGGTGTGCCCCAGGTGTGCCCAGGTGTGCCCCGGTGTGTCACAGGTGTGCCCAGGTGTGGTACAACTGCCCCCAGGTGAGCCCAGGTGTGCCCAGGTGTGCCCCAGGTACATCCCCAGGTGCGCCCAGGTGCCCCCAAATTCCCAATTTCCCCCCCTAAAACCCCCATTTTTAATCCAATTTTCACCATTTTCCCCCCATTTTCTCCCCTCCAGGTGAGCCCAGGTGCGCCCAATTCCCCCCTAAAAACCCCATTTTTTTCCTGATTTTCACCCCAATTTTCACCATTTTTTCCCCATTTTTAACCCGATTTTCACCGTTTTTCCCCCATTTCTCCCCCCCCCAGGTGTGCCCAGGTGTGCCCAGGTGCGTCCAAATTCCCAATTTCCCCCCTAAAACCCCCATTTTTAACCCGATTTTCACCCCATTTTCGCCGTTTTTCCCCCATTTCCCCCCACCCAGGTGTGCCCAGGTGTGCCCAGGTGTGCCCAAATCCCCAATTTCCCCCCTAAACCCCCCATTTTTACACCGATTTTCACCCAATTGTCACCGTTTTCCCCCCATTTTTAACCCGATTTTCACCCCCCCCAGGTGTACCCCGGTGCGCCCAGGTGTTCCCAATTTCCCCCCCTAAAAACCCCATTTTTAACCCAATTTTCACCATTTTCCCCCCATTTTTTACCCAATTTTCACCCCATTTTCGCCGTTTTTCCCCCATTTCCCCCCCACCCAGGTGTGCCCAGGTGTGCCCAAATTCCCAATTTCCCCCCCTAAAACCCCCATTTTTAACCCGATTTTCACCCAATTTTCACCGTTTTTCCCCATTTCCCCCCCCCCCAGGTGTGCCCAGGTGTGCCCAGGTGTGCCCAATTTCCCCCCTAAAACCCCCATTTTTAACCCAATTTTCCCCCATTTTTAACCCGATTTTCACCCAATTTTCACCCTTTCCCCCCCCCAGGTGTGCCCAGGTGTGCCCAGGTGCGCCCAGGTGCGCCCAGGTGCGCCCAGGTGCGCTCACCTTGCAGCCCTGCGCCGCCAGCACGCGGATGTCGGCCGGCACGCGGTCCCCACCTTTGATCTCCACCACGTCCCCGACCACGAGCTCGGCCGCGTTCACCTGCAGCACCTGCCCCGCCCGCACCACCGTGGCTTGCTGCAGGTGAGGCGCCGGGTATGCAAATGAGGGCTCGGGGATGCAAATGAGGGCTCCGGTATGTAAATGAGGCCCGCCGGGTGTGCGAATGAGGGCTCGGGTATGCAAATGAGGGCTCAGGTATGCAAATGAGGCCCCTCAGGTGTGCAGGTGGGATCCCAGGTATGCAAATGAGGGCTCGGGTATGCAAATGAGGCCCCCCCAGGTGTGCAGGTGGGATCTTGGGTATGCAAATGAGGGCTCAGGTATGCAAATGAGGCCCGCCGGGTGTGCAGGTGGGATCCCGGGTATGCAAATGAGGGCTCGGGTATGCAAATGAAGCCAGCCAGGTCTGCGAATGAGGGATCGGGGGATGCGAATGAGGCCCCGAAGGTGTGTAAATGGGGGCTTAAGTATGCAAATGAAAGGTCAGGTATGCAAATGAGGCCCCCCCCCAGGTGAGACAATGAGTCCTCAGGTGTGCAAATGAGGGCTCGGGTATGCAAATGAGGCCCTGCAGGTGTGCAGGTGAGAGCCCAGGTGAGTGGGTGGGACTCCAGGTAGGCAAATGGGGACTTAAGTATGCAAATGAGGCGCCCCTCAAGCGTGCAGGTGAGGACCTGAGGCTCTGGGTATGTAAATGAGGGCTCAGGTATGCAAATGAGGCCTCAAAGTTATGCAAATCAGGCTCCAGGTGAGCCCAGGTGTGTCGCCAAACTCTCTAATTCTCACCGATTTCCCCCAAATTTTCCCAAAATTTTCACCAATTTCTCCCCAATTTTCCCCATTTCCCCGCCCCCAGGCATGCCCAGGTGTGTCCAGCTGTGCCCAGGTGTGCCCTCAGGTGTGCCCAGGTGTGCCCAGGTGTGCTCACCTGCGGGACCAGGTTGCGGAAGCTGGCGATGATGTTGGTGCTCTTGAACTCCTGGTAGTAGCCGAAGCAGCCGGTGACCACCACGACGGCGATGAGCGCCACGGCCAGGTACAGCTGCACAGGTGTGCCCAGGTGAGGGCCCAGGTGTGCCCAGGTGTGCCCAGGTGAGCCCGAAATCCCAATTACCCCCCCTAAAAACGCCATTTTTAACCCAATTTTCACCATTTCCCCTGTTTTCTGCCCCCCAGGTGTGCCCAGGTGTGTGCCCAGGTGTGTGCCCAGGTGTGCCCAAAATCCCAATTTCTCCCCCCAAAAACGCCATTTTTAACCCAATTTTCACCGTTTCTCCCGGTTTTCTGCCCCCCAGGTGTGCCCAGGTGTGCCCAGGTGAGCCCAGGTGCACCCAAAATCCCAATTTCCCCCCCAAAAATCCCCATTTTTAACCCCATGTTCACCCAATTTTCACCCCCCCAGGTGTGCCCAGGTGTCCCTAAAATTCCCCAATTTTGACAAATTTTCCCCATTTTCTGCCCTCCAGGTGTGCCCAGGTGTCCCCAAATTCCCCAACTTTCACCGATTTTCCCCCAATTTTCACCGATTTTCCCCCAATTTCCCCCATTTCCTCTCCCCCATCTGTCTCCCATCCATCCCCAGTTGTCCCCAGTTGTCCCCAGGTGCACCCAGGTGTGCCCAGGTGTCCCCCAAAATCCCATTTTCCCCTCCAAAACCCCCAAATTTTCACCGATTTTCCCCCAATTTTCACCGATTTTCCCCCAATTTCCACCGATTTTCCCCATTTCCTCCCCCCCAGGTGTCCCCAGGTGTATCCCAGGTGTCCCCAGGTGTATCCCAGGTGTCCCCAAATTCCCCAATTTTCACCAATTTCCCCCATTTCCTCCCCCCCATCCTTCCCCATCTGCCCTCCAGGTGTGCCCAGCTGTCCCCAGGTGCGCCCAGGTGTCCCCAAATTCCCCAATTTTTCACCAATTTTCCCCCAATTTTCACCGATTTTCCCCATTTCCTCCCCTCCCATCTGTCCCCAGGTGCGCCCAGGTATCCCCAGGTGTCCCCCAATTCCCCAATTTTCCCTCCAAAACCCCAAATTTTCACCGATTTTCCCCCCAATTTTCCCCCCCCATCCATCCCCAGGTGTGCCCAGGTGTGCCCAGGTGCGCCCAGGTGTCCCCAAAATCCCATTTTCCCCTCCAAAACCCCCAAATTTTCACCGATTTTCCCCCAATTTTCACCGATTTTCCCCATTTTCTCCCCCCCAGGTGTCCCCAGGTGCATCCCAGGTGTGCCCCTCACGTTGTCGGAGCTGCCGCGGTCGCCCTGCCCCTCCTGCACGCCGTAGGCGATCAGGCAGATGCCGGCCGCCACCCACATGAGGCACTGCAGGCCCCCGGCCAGCTGCCGCCCGAACCGGACACAGCCCGGGGTGCCCCCGGGCGGCCGGAGAGCGTTGGGACCGTCCCGGAGGAGCCGCTCGGCCGCCGCTGCTTCGGACAGGCCCTGCAGGGACAGGGAATGGTCAGTCATTGGTCAGTCATTGGTCATTGAACACATTGGGACCGTCCCGGAGGAGCCGCTCGGGCCGCTGCTGCTTCGGACAGGCCCTGCAGGGACAGGGAATGGTCAGTCATTGGTCAGTCAATGGTCATTGAACACATTGGGACCGTCCCGGAGGAGCCGCTCGGCCGCTGCTGCTTCGGACAGACCCTGTGGGAATGGGGAATGGTCACTCAATGGTTAATGGTCAGTCATTGGTCATTGAGCGCGTTCGGACCGTCCCGGAGGAGCCGCTCGGCCCGCTGCAGACTCGGACAGGCCCTGTGGGAATGGTCACTCAATGGTCAGTCATTGGGTAATGGTCACTCATTGGTCATTGAGGGCGTTGGGACCGTCCCGGAGGAGCCGCTCGGCCGCTGCCGACTCGGACAGACCCTGTGGGAATGGTCACTCAATGGTTAATGGTCAGTCAATGGTCATTGAGGGCGTTGGGACCGTCCCGGAGGAGCCGCTCGGCCGCTGCAGCTTCGGACAGGCCCTGTGGGAATGGGCAATGGTCACTCAATGGTCAGTGATTGGCAATGGTCAGTGAGAGCGTTCGGACCGTCCCGGAGGAGCCGCTCGGCCCGCCGCAGCTTCGGACAGGCCCTGTGGGAATGGTCAGTCAATGGTCAGTCAATGGTTAATGGTCAGTCATTGGTCATTGAGGGCGTTCGGACCGTCCCGGAGGAGCCGCTCGGCCCGCCGCTGCTTCGGACAGGCCCTGGGGGAATGGGCAATGGTCACTCAATGGTCAGTCATTGGTTAATGGTCACTCAATGGTCAGTCAATGGTCATTGAGGGCATTGGGACCGTCCCGGAGGAGCCGCTCGGCCGCCGCTGCTTCGGACAGACCCTGTGGGAATGGTCAGTCAATGGTTAATGGTCAGTCATTGGTCAGTCATTGGTCATTGAGAGCGTTCGGACCGTCCCGGAGGAGCCGCTCGGCCGCTGCAGACTCGGACAGACCCTGTGGGGACATGGAGTGGTCACTCAATGGTCAGTGATTGGGCAATGGTCACTCAATGGGCAGTGAGAGCGTTGGGACCGTCCCGGAGGAGCCGCCTCGGCCCGCTGCTGCTTCGGACAGGCCCTGTGGGAATGGTCACTCAATGGTTAATGGTCACTCAATGGTCATTGAGGGCGTTCGGACCGTCCCGGAGGAGCCGCTCGGCCGCTGCCGACTCGGACAGGCCCTGTGGGAATGGGCAATGGTCAGTCAATGGTCAGTCATTGGTCATTGAGAGCGTTGGGACCGTCCCGGAGGAGCCGCTCGGCCGCTGCTGCTTCGGACAGGCCCTGCGGGAATGGTCCAGTCAATGGTTAATGGTCAGTCATTGGTCACTCAATGGTCATTGAGGGCATTGGGACCGTCCCGGAGGAGCCGGCTCGGCCGCCACTGCTTCGGACAGGCCCTGCGGGGAATGGTCAGTCAATGGTCAGGCAATGGTCAGTCAATGGTCAGTCATTGGGCAATGGTCACTCAATGGTCACTCATTGGTCACTGAGAGCATTCGGACCGTCCTGGAGGAGCCGCTCGGCTGCCGCTGCCTCAGACAGGCCCTGTGGGAATGGTCACTCAATGGTCACTCAATGGTCACTCATTGGTCCACTCATTGGTCACTCATTGGTCACTCAATGGTCACTCAATGGTCACTCATGGTCACTCATTGGTCACTCATTGGTCACTCTATGCTCACTCAGTGGTCACTCATTGGGTCCCTCATTGGTCACTCAATGGTCACTCTGTGCTCACTCAGTGGTCACTCAGTGGTCACTCAGTGGTCACTCATTGGTCACTCAGTGCTCACTCAATGGTCACTCAGTGGTCACTCAATGGTCACTCATGGTCACTCAGTGGTCACTCATTGGTCACTCAGTGGTCACTCAGTGGTCACTCAGTGCTCACTCATTGGTCACTCACTGGTCACTCAGTGGTCACTCAATGGTCACTCAGTGCTCACTCATTGGTCACTCAGTGGTCACTCATTGGTCACTCATTGGTCACTCAATGGTCACTCATGGTAACTCTGTGGTCACTCATTGGTCACTCATGGTCACTCAGTGGTCACTCATTGGTCACTCAGTGGTCACTCAGTGGTCACTCATTGGTCACTCATTGGTCACTCAATGGTCACATCATTGGTCACTCAGTGCTCACTCAGTGCTCACTCATTGGTCACTCTGTGGTCACTCAATGGTCCCTCATGGTCACTCAGTGCTCACATCAATGCTCACTCATGGTCACTCAGTGGTCACTCATTGGTCACTCAGTGCTCACTCAGTGGTCACTCTGTGGTCACTCTGTGGTCACTCAATGGTCACTCAATGGTCACTCATTGGTCACTCATTGGTCACTCATTGGTCACTCAGTGGTCACTCATTGGTCACTCTCACCTTGGTGACGCTCGTGTTGTATTTCAGCTCGAGCTCCTTCACGTCCAGTTTGTGATCGTCCTGCACCAGCACAGACCAGTATAAACCAGTTAAACCAGTATGGACCAGTATAAACCAGTATAAACCAGTACGGACCAGTATGGACCAGTGACCCCCTCCCAGTCCCTCCCAGTACAAACCAGTAACCCCAAATCCCCCTTTACCCTTTCCCCAGCCCCTCCCAGTTTAACCCAGTCCCTCCCAGTTCCCTCCCAGTCCATCCCAGTACAAACCAGTAACCCCCGAATCCCCTTTTTTACCCCCTCCCCCAGTCCCCCCAAACCCCTCCCAGTTTATCCCAGTTCCCTCCCAGTATAAACCAGTGACCCCGAATCCCCCTTTAACCCTTTCCCAGCCCCTCCCAGCCCCTCCCAGTATAAACCAGTAACCCCAAATCCCCCTTTAACCCTTTCCCAGTCCCTCCCAGTCCCTCCCAGTTTATCCCAGTCCCTCCCAGTCCCATCCCAGTCCCTCCCAGTTTTATCCCAGTCCCTCCCAGTTCCCTCCCAGTCCCTCCCAGTCCCCTCCCAGTCCCTCCCAGTCCCCTCCCAGTCCCTCCCAATCCCCTCCCAGTCCCTCCCAGTTTGTCCCAGTCCGCACCAGTTCCAGCTCCCGTTTCATCTCCTCCAGCCGCTCCCGCTCCTTCCGCCGGCCCCGCCCCAGCCGGGGGGGGCGGAGCTCCAACTTCTGAGGGGGGCGGGGGCGAAGGGGGGAAAGGGGGTGGGGGTCAGAGGTGAGGGGGATGGGGGGGGGGGAGGAGGAGGATGGAGACCCCCTCCCCTTCATCCCTCTCCTCTTCCTCTTCTTCCTCCTCATCCTCCTCATCCTCCTCATCCTCCTCCTGCTTCCGTCTCTCCTTTCTTCCTCCTCCTCCTCCTCCTCTTCCTCCCTCCTCCCCTCCATCCTCCTCCCATCCCTCTCCTCTCCCCATCCTCCTCCTCCGCCTCTCCCTTCTTCCTCCATCCTCCTCTTCCTCCCCCATCCTCCCCATCCTCCTCCTCCTCCTCTTCCTCTTCTTCCTCCATCCTCCTCTTCCTCCCCATCCTCCCCATCCTCCTCCTCCTCCTCTTCCTCTTCTTCCTCCTCTCCTTCCCTCTCCCTCCCCATCTCTCTTTCTTCCTCCTCCTCCTCCTCCTCCATCTCTCCTCATCCTCCTCCGTCTCTCTCCTTCCTCCCTCCTTCCTCTCATCCCTCCTCTTCCTCCCTCCCTCCCTCCTTCCTCCCTCTCTCTTCTTCCTCCTCCCTCCCCCCCATTCCTCCCTCCATCCCCTCTCTCTCCTCCTCTTCCTCCCTCTCTCCTCTTCCTCTTCCTCCATCTCTCCACGTCTCCCTCCCTTCTCTCCTTCCTCCCTCTCTCCCTCTCCCTCCTCCTCCCTCTCTCCCTCTCCCCCCTTCATCCCTCCCTCCCTCCCTCCTCTTCCTCTCTCCTCTTCCTCTTCCTCCATCTCTCCACGTCTCCCTCCCTCCATTCCTTCCTCCCTCCCTCCTCTTCCTCCCTCTCTCCCTCCTTCCTCTTCCTCCCTCCCTCCTCATCTCCCTCCCCTCCCTCACCCCTCAATCCTCCTCCACCCCCTCTCCCTCTTGCCTTCCTCCCTCTCTCTTCTTCCTCCCTCCCCTCCTCCTCCTTCCTCCATCTCTCCTCTCTCTCCTCCTCCCTTTCTCCTCTTCCTCCCTCCCTCCTCTTCCTCCCTTGCTCAACGTCTCCCTCCCCCTCCTTTCCTTCCTCCCTCTCTCCTCTTCCTCCCATCCCCTCTTCATTCTCCTCTTCCTCCCTCCATTCCCCCTCTATCTCTCCACGTCTCCCTCCCTCCCTCCCTTCTTCCTCCCTCTCTCCTCTCCCTCCTCCTCCTCCCTCTCCTCCCTCTCCCCCTTCATCCCTTTCTCCTTCTTCCTCCCTCCCTTCCTCCTCTTCCTCCCTCTCTCCACGTCTCCTTCCCTTCCTCCCTCCTCTTCCTCCCTCCCTTCTCTTCCTCCCTCTCTCCTCTTCCTCCTTCCCTTCCTTCCCTCCCCTCTCTCCTCTTCCTCCTTCTCCCTCCTCTCCGTCCCCCTCCATCCCTTCCTCCCTCCCTCCTCTTCCTCCCTTTCTCCTCTTCCTCCATCTCTCCATTCCTTCCTCCCTCCCTCCTCTTCCTCCCTCCTCTTCCTCTCTCCTTCCTCCATCTCTCCTCTCCTCTTCCTCCCTCTTCTCCCTCCTCCCATCCCCTCTTCATCCTCCTCTTCCTCCCTCCCTCCTCTTCCTCCCTCTCCCTCCTCTCCCTCTCACCTCCTTGCCCATGGCTCTCCCAGTCTCTCCCAGTCTCTCCCAGTCCCTCCCCAGTTCCCCCTTTATAAACCCCCCCCTCCAGGAGGGAAACGCCCCAAGGTGACCCCACCTGGGCACACCTGGGAAAGGGGGGGGCGGGGACACCTGGGGGACACCTGGGGGACACCTGGACACACCTGGGGGACACCTGGGGGACACCTGGGGATTTTTTGGGGGGGGATTTTGGGGCTTTTTGAGGATTTTTTTATTTTTTGGGAGGATTTTTTTTATTTGGATGCTTCGAGGGAAATTTTGGGGAATTTTTGGGGAATTTTTTTTGGGGGGATTTTGGGGGGATTTTTTTTGGAGGTTTTTTTAGGGAAATTTTGGGGGGTTTTGGGATTGGTTTTTTTTCCGATTTTTGGGGGGATTTTTAAGGGGAATTTTGGGATTTTAAGGGGAATTTTTGGGAATTTTTTTGGATTTTTTTTAAATTAATTTTTGGGGTGGGTGTTGGGGTATTTGGGGGATCTATGGGAAATTTTTAGGGAGTTTTTAAAAAATTTTGGGGCTTTTTTAAGGGTTTTTTGCAGTTTTTTTTTGAGGGATTTTTAAGGGAATTTTGGGATTTTTTGGAGAAGTTTCGGGAGAATTTTTTCTTGATTTTTAAAGGGAAATTTTGGGATTTTTTGGGGGAAGTTTTGGGAGAATTTTTTCTTGATTTTAAGGGAAATTTTGGGAGAATTTTTTCTTGATTTTTAAAGGGAAATTTTGGGATTTTTGGGGAAGTTTTGGGAGAATTTTTTCTTGATTTTTAAAGGGAAATTTTGGGATTTTTGGGGAAGTTTTGGGAGAATTTTTTCTTGATTTTTAAGGGAAATTTTGGGAGAATTTTTTCTTGATTTTTAAAGGGAAATTTTGGGATTTTTTGGGAAGTTTTGGGAGAATTTTTTTCTTGATTTTTAAAGGGAAATTTTGGGATTTTTTGGGGGAAGTTTTGGGAGAATTTTTTTCCTGATTTTTAAAGGGAAATTTTGGATTTTTGGGGAAGTTTTGGGAGAATTTTTTCTTGATTTTTAAAGGGAAATTTTGGGATTTTTTGGGGAAGTTTTGGGAGACACCTGAGAGGGGGGGAAAGGAAACCTTGGGGACACCTGGGGGTCACACCTGGAGGGGGGCGGGGTCTCCCGTCCTTGCTGCTGCCCCTCCCCCCCCCTTATCAAGATGGGGCTTATCGGGGTGGGGGAGGGGCGCCCCCCGCTCCTTTTGTGCCGCTGGTTAATGATTGATGAGAGCGTTAATTAATGATTAATTAGCGATTAATAGCGGCCTTTATTGATGATTCATTGGAGATTATGGGAGATTTTAATTGAAAATTAAAAATAACTCGCAAAAAAAAAAAATCCCCTAAAAAATTCCCCCCGAAAATTTCTCAAAATTTCCTCCAAAAATTCCGTATAAAATCCTCAAAAAAATCCTCAAAAATCCCTAAAAAAAAATCTCAAAAAAATTTCCCAAAAAATTTGTGAAAAAAATCCCCTAAAAATTCTCAAAATTCCCTCCAAAAATTCCCCATAAAATTCCCAAAAAAAATCCTCAAAACCCCCTAAAATAATCTCAAAAAAATTCCCCCAAAAAATCCCCACAAAATCCCAAAATTTCTGTAAAAGAAAAACAACCCCAAAAAAAACCCCAAATCCCCAAAATATCCCCAAAAAATCCCCCCCAAAATTCCCTAAAAACCCCCCATAAAATCCCAAAATTTCCCTTAAAAATCCCTCCAAAAAAACTGCAAAAAAATCGCTTAAAAAAAGCCAAATTTTTTTTAAAACCCCCAAAATGTCCCCCCAAAAATCATTTTAAAAAGTCACAAAAAAATTCCCAAAAATTCCCCTTAAAATCCCAAAATTCCCCTTAAAAATCCCCCACAAAAAATCGGAAAAAAAAAATCCCCAAACCCCCTAAAATTTCCCTTAAAAAACCTCCCAAAAAATTCCCCCCCAAAAACCCCAAAAATCCCCCCAAAAAATTCCCCAAAATGTTCCAAAATTTCCCTTAAAAACCTCCCAAAAAAATCCCCCCCCAAAACCCCAAAAATCCCCCCAAAAAAATTCCCCAAAATGTTCCAAAATTTCACTTAAGCATTCAAATAAAAAATCTTCCCAAAAAAATCCTCAAAAAGCCCCAAAATCCCCCAAAAAATCCAATCCGGCCGCTCAGGCCACGCCCCCGCCGCTCACCATTACGTCAGTGGGCGTGGTTTTTCCCCCACACACCATTACGTCATCGCTAAACGCCTGGTGGGCGTGGCGTCGCGGCCGGCATTACGTCACCGCGTAACGCGAGCCGAGCTGTGGGCGTGGTTTCCGGGCTCGGGGGCGTGGCCTGGGGGGCAATGGCGGCGCTGCGCGTGCTCGTGGGGGTGAAGCGCGTCATTGACTTCGCCGTCAAGGTAAGGGCGCACCTGGGCACACCTGGGCACATCTGGGCACACCTGGGCACACCTGGGCACCCCCAAACCCCCCCCGAGCCTGGCACCACCCGGCGAGCCCCAAAATCCCCAATTTTGGGTTTTTTTGGGGTTTTTTTTGGGGGTTTTTTCGGGGGGTTTTGGGGTGCTGGGCGCACCTGGGCGCTCACCTGGGCACCCACGAACCCCACCGGGGGTGGCGCCGCCCAGAGAGACCCAAAATGCCGAAATTTGGGGGTTTTTTGAGGGATTTTGGGGGTTTTGAGGGGGCTGGATACAGATGGGGAGGCCGAAATGACCCCAAAAATTGAGAGCAAATCCCCCAAAATTGGCAAAAGATCCTAAAAAAAAACCGAAAAAATATCTAAATTCCCCCAAATATCCCAAAACCTGGCGACATTTATGGACTGCAGGGTTGGGCACTCACCTGGGCACATCTGTCAACCCCCAAAACCCCCGAAAAAGCTCCAAAAAAACCCAAAAAATACTAAAAATCCCGAACCCAGGGCTTATTTTTGGGCATGGGGGAGGGCACTCACCTGGGCACACCTGGGCACAGCTGGGCGCACCTGTCCACCCCTCCCAGCCCCAAAATCCCCCTAAAATAACCCCAAAAATCCCCTAAAAAATCCAAAAAATTCCCTAAAAATCCCCAAAAATCCCAAAACCTGGCAACATTTATGGACTGCAGGGTTGGGCACACACCTGGGCACACCTGGGCACACCTGGGCACACCTGTCCACCCCTCCCAGCCCTAAAATAACCCCAGAAAACCCCAAAAAATCCCCAAAAATTCCCTAAAAAATCCCCAAAAAATCAAAAAAACAATCAAAAAATTCCCTAAAAATCCCCAAAAATCCCCAAACCTGGTGACATTTATGGACTCAGGACTTGGGCACCCCTGGGCACACCTGTCCACCCCTCCCAGCCCCAAAATCCCCCTAAAATAACCCCAAAAACACCCAGAAAACCCCCAAAAAATAAAAAAAAAATCCAAAAAAATCCCCAAAAATCCCAAAACCTCGTGACATTTATGGACTGCGGGGTTGGGCACTCACCTGGGCACCCCTGGGCACACCTGGGCGCACCTGTCCACCCCTCCCAGCTCCAAAATCCCCCTAAAATAACCCCAAAAAATCCCAAAAAACCCCCCAAAAAATCCAAAAAATCCCTAAAAAATTCCCAAAAAATCCCAAAAAATCCCCAAAAAATCCCCAAATTTCCCCCCAAACCCCCCGCCCTGAGCGGTGCCAGGTGTGCCCGGCAGGTGCGGGTGGCGCCCGGCGGGGGCGCGGTGCAGACGCAGGGCGTGAAGCATTCGCTGAACCCGTTCTGCGAGATCGCCCTGGAGGAGGCCGTGAGGCTGCGCGAGGCGGGCACGGCCTCCGAGGTCATCGCTGCCAGCCTGGGCACCAAGGCCAGCCAGGTGAGGGGGGCACACCTGGGGGAAAAAACGGCGAAAATTGGGTGAAAATTGGGTGAAAATTGGGCGAAAATCGGGCGAAAATTGGGCGAAAATCGGGCGAAAATCGGGCGAAAATCGGGTGAAAATTGGGTGAAAATTGGGCGAAAATCGGGCGAAAATCGGGCGAAAATCGGGGCGAAAAACGATGAAGAAATGGGGTTTTTAAGGGAATTTTTGGGGGTAAATTGGGAATTTGGGCACACCTGAGGGTACCTGGGCACACCTGGAAGCATGAAAATGGCAAAAATTGGGTGAAAGTTGGGTGAAAAATGGGGTTTTAGAGGAAATTTAGGAATTTGGGCAGACCTTGGTACACCTGGGCACACCCGGAAGTGTGAAAATTGGGTGAAAAATGGGGATTTTAGGGGAAATTTTGGAATTTAGGCACACCTGGGCACACCTGGGCACACCCGGAAGTGTGAATATGGCGATAATTGGGTGAAAAATGATGATTTTAGGGGAAATTTAGGAATTTGGGCACACCTGGGCACACCCAGAAGTGTGAAAATGTTGAAAAATGGGGATTTTAGGGGAAATTTTGGAATTTAGGCACACCTAGGCATACGTGGACACACCTGGAAGTGTGAAAATGGTGAAAATTGGGTGAAAAATGGGGATTTTAGGGGAAATTTAGGAATTTGGGCACACCTGGCACGTCCGGAAGTGTGAAAATTGGGTGAAAGATGGGTGGAAAATGGGGATTTTACGGGAAATTTCGGAATTTGGGCACACCTGGGCACACCTGGGCACACCCGGAAGTGTGAATATGGTGATAATTGGGTGAAAAATGCTGATTTTAGGGGAAATTTAGGAATTTGGGCACAACTGGGCGCACCTGAAAGTGTGAAAATGGCGAAAAATGTGTGAAAAATGGGTGAAAAATTGGGATTTTAGGGGAAATTTAGGAATTTGGGCAAGGCTGGGCACGGCTGGGAGGGCGAAACCGGCGAAATCTGGGTCAAAAACGGTGAAACCATGGGCAAAAACGTGTTAAAAAATGGGATTTTTAGGGGGGAAATTTCGCGTTTTTCGGGCGCACCTGGGCACACCTGGAAGGGGAGAAAATGGGGGGAAATGGGAGCAAAACTGGGGTTTTTTTGGGGGGGAAAAATCGGGAATTTAGGGGATTTAACCCTTTGTGTCCCGCAGGAGACGCTGCGCACGGCCCTGGCCATGGGCGCCGACCGGGCCGTGCTGGCCGAGCTGGGCGAGGGCGCGGCCGCGGGGCCCCGCGAGGTGGCCACGGCCCTGGCGGGGCTGGTGCGGAAGCTGCAGCCGCAGGTGGTGCTGCTGGGCAAGCAGGTATTGATCCCCTATTGATCCGTATTGATTCCCTATTGATCCCATGCAGATCCCCGTCGATCCCCTCTAGAACCCCTATAGATCCCCATAGATCCCCTCTAGACCCCAATGGAACCTTCTAGAACCTCTATTGATCCTCTGTTGATCGGTTTTGTCCGTCCCCCTGCCCCCAGGCCATCGATGACGATTGCAACCAGACCGGGCAGCTCCTGGCCGCCATGTTGGACTGGCCGCAGGTAGGCCGCGCGCGCGCGGGGCACCACGGGATACATTTCCCCTCACGGGGGATAAATCCCACAATCCCCTACGAGAAAAAAAGGGGGGATATATCCCGTCGTTCCTTGCGGTAAATGGGGGGATAAATCCCACAATCCCCCGAGGGACTAAGGGGGATATATCCCGTCATTCTTTGCGGTAAAGGGGGGATAAATCCCACAATCCCCTGCGAGAAACAAGGGGGGATATATCCCGCCATTCCTTGCGGTAAAGGGGGATAAATCCCACAATCCCCTGCGAGAAACAAGGGGGGATATATCCCGTCATTCCTTGCGGTAAAGGGGGGATAAATCCCACAACGCCCTACGAGAAAAAAGGGGGATATATCCCGTCATTCCTTGCGGTAAAGGGGGGATAAATCCCACAATCCCCTGCGAGAAAAAGGGGGGGATATATCCCGTCATTCCTTGCGGTAAAGGGGGGATAAATCCCACAACGCCCTGCGAGGAAAAAAGGGGGATATATCCCGTCATTCCTTGCGGTAAAGGGGGGGATAAATCCCACAATCCCCTGCGAGGGAAAAAAGGGGGGATATATCCCGTCATTCCTTGCGGTAAAGGGGGGATAAATCCCAGAACCCCCTGCGAGAAACAAGGGGGATATATCCCGTCATTCTTTGCGGTAAAGGGGGGGATAAATCCCACAATCCATTGCGAGAAAAAAGGGGGGATATATCCCGTGATTCCTTGCGGTAAAGAGGGATAAGTCCCACAATCCCCCGCGGTTTTACGTTTAATATATCCCACAATGCCCGGCGATTTAGGGGTGAATACATACAAAAATGCCCCGCTATTTAAAGGGTGAATGTATCGCACAATGCTCCGGGATTTAGGGGTGAATATATCTAAAAATGCCCCGCTATTTAAGGGTGAATATCTCTCAGTCCTTCGCGATTTTAGGGTGAATGTAGCCCACAATCCCCTGCGATTTAGGGGTGAATTTTTCCCACAATCCCCTGCAAGAAAAATGGGGGGATATATCCCGTCATTCCTTGCGGGAAAGGGGGGATAAATCCCACAAACCATTGTGAGAAAAAAGGGGGATATATCCCGTCATTCCTTACGGCAAAGGGGGGATAAATCCCACAATCCCTTGCGAGGAAAAAAGGGGGGGATATATCCCGTCATTCCTTGCGGTAAAGGGGGGATAAATCCCAGAGCCCCCTGCGAGAAAATGGGGGGATATATCCCGTCATTCTTTGCGGTAAGGGGGGGGATAAATCCCACAATCCCCTGCGAGAAACAAGGGGGGATATATCCCGTCATTCCTTGCGGTAAAGGGGGATAAATCCCACAATGCCCCGCGGTTTAACGGTTAATATATCCCACAATGCCCCGCTATTTAAAGGGTTAATATATCCCACAATGCTCCGGGATTTAGGGGTGAATTTATCCAAAAATGCCCCGCTATTTAATTGTGAATATCTCGCAGTCCTTCGCGATTTAAGGGTGAATATAACCCACAATCCCCTGCGAGAAAAAGGGGGGATATATCCCGTCGTTCCTTGCGGTAAAGGGGGGATAAATCCCACAGCCCTCTGCGAGAAACAAGGGGGGATATATCCCGTCATTCCCTGCGGTAAAGGGGGATAAATCCCACAATCCATTGCGAGAAACAAGGGGGGATATATCCCGTCATTCCTTGCGGTAAAGGGGGGATAAATCCCACAACCCCCTGCGAGAAAAAAAGGGGGAATATATCCCGTCATTCCCTGCGGTAAAGGGGGGATAAATCCCACAATCCATTGCGAGGAAAACGGGGGGAATATATCCCGTGATTCCCTGCGGTAAAGGGGGGATAAATCCCACAATCCATTGCGAGGAACAAGGGGGATATATCCCGTGATTCCTTGCGGTAAAGGGGGGCATAAATCCCACAACCCTCTGCGAGAAAAAAGGGGGGATATATCCCGTCGTTCCTTGCGGTAAAGGGGGGATAAATCCCACAATCCATTGCGAGGAACAAGGGGGGATATATCCCGTGATTCCTTGCGGTAAAGGGGGGCATAAATCCCATTACCCTCTGCGAGAAAAAAGGGGGGATATATCCCGTCGTTCCTTGCGGTAAAGGGGGGGATAAATCCCACAATCCCTTGCGAGTAAAACGGGGGGAATGTATCCCGTCATTCCTTGCGGTAAGGGGGGATAAATCCCAAAACCCCTTGCGAGGAAAAAAAAGAGGGATATGTCCCGTCATTCCTTGCTGTAAAGGGGGATAAATCCCACAATCCCTCGCGGTTTAAAGGTGAATATGTCCTACAATGCTCCGGGATTTAGGGGTGAATATATCCACCAATTCCCCGCTATTTAATCGTGAATATATCTCACAATCCCCCGCGATTTTAGGGTGAATATATCTCTCAGTCCTTCGCGATTTTAGGGTGAATATATCCAACAATCTACTGCGATTTAGCGGTTACTGTATCCCACAATCCCCCGCGATTTAAAGGTTAAAATATCCCACAATCCCCTGAGATTTAAGGGTGAATATATCCCACAATCCCCTGGGATTTGAGGGTGAATATATCCCACAATCCCCTGCGATTTAGGGGTGAATATATCCCACAGTGCTCCGCGATTTGGGGGTGAATATATCCCATAATCCCTTGCAGCAAATGGGGGGAATAAATCCCGGCATTCCTCGCGGTAAATGGGGGGATATATCCCGTCATCCTTCGCGGCGAAGGGGGGTATATATCCCGGCATTCTGTGCGGTAAAAGGGGGTATATATCCCGTCGTGCATCGCGGTGTTGGAGGATTGTGGGATATATTCACCCCTAAAAATCGCAGTGGATTGTGGGATATATTCACCGTTAAATCGCGGGGTATTGTGGGATATATTCCCCCCAAAGGCTGTGAAACCGGGAGGGGTTCCAGTTCATTCTGGGAGGGTCTGGCTCATACTGGGAAGGTCCCAGCTCATACTGGGAGGCTCCCCAGTCCAAACTGGTCCAAACTGGTTTCCCCCAGGGCACCTTTGCCTCGCGGGTGCAGCTGGAGGCCGGGCACGTGCTGGTGGAGCGCGAGGTGGACGGGGGCCTGGAGACGCTGCGGCTGCGGCTGCCGGCCGTGCTGACGGCGGACCTGAGGCTCAACGAGCCCCGCTACGCCACCCTGCCCAACATCATGGTGAGTTGGGGAGGTGGGGGGGACCCCGAAATCCCGGGGGAACCCCGAAATTCCCGAGGAATTCCACAAAACCCCCGGAATTCCACAAAAATTCCCGCGGCTCCCATAGCGGCCAATGGGGTGGGTAGACCTGTTGTCCGGGATGCTTGGAGCCGTTTTTTGGAGGGGTTTTCTCCAAAATTCCTGGGGTTCCCCAAAATCTTTGGGTGTTCCCCAAATCCCCGGGATCCCCTAATTCCCAAGAAATTCCCAAAAATCCCTGAAATTCCCCAAAAATTATGGTGGTTCCCATAGCGGCCAATGGGGGTAGACCTGTTGTCCAGGGATGCCTGGGGCCCCTTTCGCTAAAAATCCCCCCCCAAAATTCCCAAATTGTCCTTTAACAATCCAAAAATTAAAAAAAAAAGAATCCAGAAAAATTCCCCCAGGATTTCTACCCCCCCACCAAAAAAAAAAGGCCCCCCCAGTCCTAAAAAAATCCCTTAAAAGATGCCCAAAAATTCCCCAAAAACTTCCCAAGAAATCCCAAACTTCCCCAAAAAATCCCCCCCAAAGTTCCTAAAATATCACCAAAAAATTCCTTAAAAATTCCAAAAAAAACCCTTGAAAATAAAAAAAAATCCCCAAAAAATTTTCCAAACTTTCAAAAAAAACCCCCAAAAATATCCCAAAAAAATCCTGATAAAATTTTGATAAAATCCCGAAAAAATCCCAAAAACATCCCCAAAAATTCTTTAAAATATCTCGAAAAATCCTAAAAAGTCCTGAAAAATGTAAAAAAAGAATTCTTAAAAAATCAAAAAAAACTCCAATAAAATCCCTAAAAAATCCCCCAAAATTGCCCAAGAATTCCTCGAAAAATCAGGAAAAATCCTCAAAATATCCCGAAAAAAATCCCAAAAAATTCCTGAAAAAAAGCCCGAAAAATCCTCAAAAATTCTGATAAAATTCCAATCAAATCCAGGAAAAATCCCCAAAAAATCATTCAAAAATTGCTCCAAAAATCTGGGGGGAAAAATCCTGAAAAATCAAGAAAAATCCCCAAAAAATCTGTAAAAAATCCCTAAAATATCCCCCAAAAAATCAAGAAAAATCCTTATAAAATCCTCAAAAAATCCCGAAAAATTCCGCAAAAAATCCTAAAAAAAATCCCCAAAATTTCTCTAAAAATCCCAATTTTGCAGAAAGCCAAGAAGAAGCCCCTGGAGGTGATCCCGGCGGCCGAGCTGGGGGTGCCCGCGGGCCCCCCAAGGCTGAAGGTGCTGCAGGTGCAGGAGCCGCCCCCCAGGGCCGGGGGGGAGAAGGTGGAGAGCGTCGAGAGCCTGGTGGGGAAACTGAGGCACGCCGGACGAATCTGACACACCAGTATCACCCAGTTCATCCCAGTAACGCCCCAGTGCCATCCCAGTTCATCCCAGTTCATCCCAGTGCTGTACGGGGGGCAGAGCATCGAGAGCCTGCTGGGGAAACTGAGGCACGCCGGAAGAATCTGACACACCAGTGCCTCCCAGTTCATCCCAGTATAACCCAGTTTGTCCCAGTATAACCCGGTTCAGTCCAGTGATGGCCCAGTGCCATCCCAGTAACCTCCCAGTGTTGGGGGAGCCAGCACCAGTAAGAACCAGTTCATCCCAGTTCATCCCAGTTCACCACAGTGCCTTCCCAGTTCATCCCAGTTCATCCCAGTTCACCTCAGTGCCTTCCCAGTTCACCCCAGTTCCCTCCCAGTCTGGCCCAGTTCCCCCCAGTGCCTTCCCCCCACCCCAATAAAGGCGTGGCCAGTCCATGACGTCATCGCGTTCTTTTTGGGGCGTGGCTTAAAGGGGCGGGGGCGGGGCCATACCCTGGCCCAGTTTTACTGGTTTTTACTGGTCTTTACTGGTTTTGGGGGGGTTTTTGCTGCGGGTGCGTCCCAGTATAAACCAGTTTGGCACTGGACGGGTCCCAGTTTGTCCCAGTATAACCCAGTATGTCCCAGTTCAGGCCCTGTTTGTCCCAGTCCAGATCCTGGTGGGTCCCAGTTTGTCCCAGTTCAGGCCCTGGTGGGTCCCAGTTTGTCCCAGTATAACCCAGCGAGGCCCAGTCCGGTCCCAGGGGATTCCCAGTATAATCCAGCGGCTCCCAGTTCGTCCCAGTCCGCTCCCAGTTTGTCCCAGTGCGTCCCTGGCGCCTCCGCGTTGCCCAGCAACGCCTCGCCCCTCCCCCCTCGCTGTCAATCAAATGCATCGCCCAATCAGAGCGCGAGTCGCTGCGCCATCCGCATGGGCGGGCCTTCACCTGACAGGCAGCGCCCTGAACGAATGGGAAGACCCGGTGGGCGGGCGCTGTGTCAGCGCCGACCAATCAGCGCCGCGGAAGCCCTGCAGGAGCGGAGCGGGCGGCCCCGTGCGGCCCCTCAGAGCCGGGGCGGCGGCGGCGGCGAAGATGGCGGCGGCGGACGGCGACGATTCGCTTTACCCCATCGCGGTGCTCATCGACGAGCTCCGCAACGAGGACGTGCAGGTACCGCTACCGGGACCTCGCCGCCATACCCCCGAGGCCTTTCCGGGGTTTCGGGGCCTCTTCCGTGGCCACCGGGGCCCGGCCGCCATCGCGCCTCTGGTCCGCGGCCCCGTTGCTGATGGACGCCATGAGACGGCCGCGCTGATTGGTTGAGGCGGCCCGGTCCCCTCAGACCCAGGCGAATGGGCGGGGGCGTAACATGTGTGGGGCGGTTGGGAAGGGGGGGGGTTGCGGTGAAAGGCGCGTTCTGATTGGCTGGAGGAGCGGTTTGGGTTTGTAAGGGGCGTTCTGATTGGTCCGCAGCGCGCTGAGGGGGTGGGGGGATCTGCCCCGCCCGCCTCAGCGCCCCATAGCGGCGGGGCAGCGCGGCTCCCTGCTCGCCGCAGCCAATGGCAGCGCGAGGCCGCGGCAGCGCCGCTCTCCATTGGCTGCCGCCTGCATGGGCGGGGCTTAGCGGAGCCAATCGTGGGCCTCCTCTCTGCCGCGGCGCCGCTGCGGAGCCGTGAGACGCCGCTCCTGATTGGTCGTGCCGCGTTGTGGGCGGGGTTTCCCCCTGAGGGGGGCGATTCCCGCCCCTTTTTTACCCCCAATTTTCCCCAAATTTTCCTGATTTTCCCCCATTTTCCCCTTCCCAGCTGCGCCTCAACAGCATCAAGAAGCTCTCAACCATCGCGCTGGCACTGGGAGTGGAGCGAACCCGCAGCGAGCTCCTCCCTTTCCTCACCGGTACTGAAATTTTAAGGGAAATTCTTAAAATTTGATGGGAAAACTCCCAAAATTTGGGTGGGAGGGACCCCCAGAATCCATGTGGGGGCGGGGAGGTCACAAAATTCCCCTGGAAACGCCAAAAATCGCCCAAATTTGGGATTGTGGGCAGGGTTTGGGGTGGTGGGTGGGGCGTGGGGGTGATTGACAGGTGTCAGGGGGCCAGGTGAGTGACAGGTGTGTCACCTGTGTGGTCACAGACACCATCTACGATGAGGACGAGGTGCTGCTGGCCCTGGCAGAGCAGCTGGGCACCTTCACCGCCCTCGTGGGGGGACCCGAGTTCGTGCACTGCCTGCTGGTAGGAGAAAAACTCACCTGGGGGGGATAAAACTCACTTGGGGAACCCCAAAATACACCTGGAGAACCCAAAAACTCACGTGGGGTGGGAAAAACTCACCTGGGTGGGGCGAAAAACTCACCTGGGGAACCCAAAATCTCACTTGGGACCTCTAAAATTCACCTGGGGAACCCCAAAACTCACCTGGGGACATGAAAATATATCTGGGGGGGGGACAAAAACACACCTGGGGAACCTCCAAACACACCTCCATGCCGTGTCCGTCTGTCCACCCAATGTCCATCTGACCACCCTGTGACCATCTGATGGCCCCACGTCCATCTGTCCATGCTATATTCCTCTGTCCATCCCATGTTCATCTTCTGTCCACCCTGTGTCCACCTGTCCATCCTGTGTCCATCTGTCCATCCCATGTCCACCTGACCACCCTGTGTCCACCTGACCACGCTGTGTCCATCTGTCCATCCCATGTTCCTCTGTCCATCCCATGCCCTTCTGACCACCCTGTGTCCACCTGTCCATCCCATGTTCCTCTGTCCATCCCATGTCCGTTTGACCACCTTGTGTCCATCTGACCACCCTGCATCCATCTGTCCATGCCATGTTCCTCTGTCCAACCCACGTCCATCTGTCCATCCCACATCCATCTGACCACCCTGTGTCCATCTGACCACCCTGTGTCCACCTGTCCATCCCGTGTCCATCTGTCCATCTGACCACCCTGTGTTTCTCCGTCCATCCCACGTCCATCTGACCACCCTGCGTCCACCTGTCCATCCCATGTTCCTCTGTCCATCCCACGTCCATCTGTCCATCCTACGTCCATCTGACCACCCTGTGTCCATCTCTCCCTCCTGTGTCCATCTGACCATCCCGTGTTCCTCTGTCCATGCTATGTTCTTCTGTCCACTTTGTGTCCATCTGTCCATGCTATGTTCCTCTGTCCATCCCACGTCCATCTGTCCATCCCACATCCATCTGACCACCCTGTGTCCACCTGTCCATCCCATGTTCCTCTGTCCATCCCACGTCCGTTTGACCACCCTGTGTCCATCTGACCACCTTGTGTTTCTCCGTCCATCCCACATCCATCTGACCACCCTGCGTCCACCTGTCCATGCCATGTTCCTCTGTCCATCCCACGTCCATCTGTCCATCCCGTGTCCACCTGACCACCCTGTGTCCATCTGTCCATGCTATATTCTTCTGTCCATCCCATGTTCCTCTGTCCATCCCGTGTCCATCTGACCACCCTGTGTCCACCTGTCCACCCCATGTTCCTCTGTCCAACCTGTGTCCATCTGTCCATCCCACGTCCATCTGACCACCCTGCGTCCATCTGTCCATGCTATGTTTCTCTGTCCACCCGGTGTCCATCTGTCCATCCCACGTCCATCTGTCCATCCCATGTTCCTCTGTCCATCCTGTGTCCATCTGACCATCCTGTGTTCCTCCATCCATCCCACATCCATCTGACCACCCTGTGTCCATCTGTCCATCCCACATCCATCTGTCCATGCTATGTTCCTCTGTCCACCCTGTGTCCATCTGTCCATCCCATGTTCCTCTGTCCATCCCACGTCCATCTCTCCATCCCACGTCCATCTGACCACCCTGCGTCCACCTGTCCATCCCATGTTCCTCTGTCCATCCCACGTCCATCTGACCACCCTGTGTTCCTCCATCCATCCCACGTCCATCTGTCCATCCCACATCCATCTGACCACCCTGTGTCCACCCGCCCGTCCCGCGTCCACCTGACCCCCTCCATGCGCCCACCTGTCCGCAGCCGCCGCTGGAGAGCCTGGCCACGGTGGAGGAGACGGTGGTGCGGGACAAGGCGGTGGAGTCGCTGCGGGCCGTGTCCCACGAGCACTCCCCGCCGGACCTCGAGGGTCACTTTGTGCCGCTGGTCAAGCGCCTGGCCGGAGGGGATTGGTTCACGTCGCGCACCTCGGCCTGCGGCCTCTTCAGCGTCTGCTACCCGCGAGTGTCCAGCCCGGTCAAGGCCGAGCTGCGCCAGTGAGTGACCAGTGGGGTGGCCGCGGGGTCATTGGGGTGGCCATGGGGTCAGTGAGATGGGTATGGGGTCATTGAGATGGGCATGGGGTCATTGAGATGGGTATGGGGTCATTGGGGTGGCCGCGGGGTCATTGGGGTGGCCGCAGGGTCAGTGAGATGGGTGTGGGGTCATTGAGATGGGCATGGGGTCATTGAGATGGGTATGGGGTCATTGGGGTGGCCGCGGGGTCAGTGAGATGGGTATGGGGTCATTGAGATGGGCATGGGGTCATTGGGGTGGCCACGGGGTCAGTGAGATGGGTTTGGGGTCAGTGAGATGGGCATGGGGTCATTGAGATGGGTATGGGGTCATTGGGTGACCATGGGGCCATTGAGGTGACCAATCCATCCTTGGGGTCATTGAGGTAACCATGGGGTCAGTGAGATGGGCTTGGGGTCATTGAGATGGGCATGGGGTCATTGGGCTGACCATAAGGTTATTGAGGTGACCATAGGGCCATTGGGGTGACCAATCCATCTTTGGGGTCATTGAGGCGACCAGGGGGTCATTGGGGTGACCATGGGGCCATTGAGGTGAGGAGGGTATCATTGGGGTGACCAGTCCATCTTTGGGGTCATTGGGGTGACCAATCCATCCTTGGGGTCATTGGGGTGACCGTAGGGTCATTGGGGTGACCAATCCATCCTTGGGGTCAGTGAGGTGACCATGGGGCTATTGAGGTGACCACGGGGCCATTGAGGTGACCATAGGGTCATTGGGGTGACCATGGGGTCATTGGGGTGACCAATCCATCCTTGGGGTCATTGGGGTGACCACAGGGTCAGTGAGGTGACCACGGGGTCATTGGTCATTGGGGTGGGCGTGGGGTCATTGGGGTGACCATGGGGTTATCGAGGTGACCATGGGGTCGTTGAGGTGACCATGGGGTCATTGGTCATTGGGATGGGTGTGGGGTCATTGGGGTGACCACAAGGTCACCAACCCATCCCAGGTATACCCAGGTGCCCCCAGGTGTGCCCAGATGCCCCCCAGGTACTTCCAGATACCCATAGGTGACCCTTAGATGTACCTGGACCATGCCCAGCTGTACCTGGGTGTACCCAGATGCCCCCCAGGTGTACCCAGGTGTCCCTCAGGTGTGCCCAGGTGACACCCAGGTGTGCCCTCAGGTACTTCCAGAAGCCCATAGGTGACCCTT